TAAGAACATTCGTTTGTTCTAAGAGCATGTCGTGGTAGGCCAAAAGGAATGCCGGGACGGTCGGTTCCTGCTCGATCCAGGTGTTCCGCGCGTGCGCACAATGGCGGGCTGAGAAACCCTGAGACCCATCCCATCTGGGGGGGGGCGGGGGGTGTTGTGAACCCTCGACTCGGAATCATACCATAATCACAGGTGTATGTGTACTCCAGATTTCGCAATAAAGGGAGGGGGGTCTCATTTCGGGGGGGGGTCTCTTCCAGGCTATCTTGGAGGGCCTGGGGGGGTCTGGGGACGATGTTTTGGAGGGTTCTCCCACGGGGAGGGTCTGAAATGGCTTGTCTTGGAGGGTCCAGACCCCCTCCCTTTTATTACAAAATCTGGAGTATATATATATATATATATATATATATATGTATTTATAGATATATGTATATGTATGTATATATATATATATTCATGTTTGTATTTAGATCTAGGTTTTGATATTTCTAGATCGATGTGTAGATGTCCAGGTTGCGGGAAGCTGGGCGGGCCTCTGGTACACCCGGGGAACATCGGATCGCGTTTTCTTTGCCGCCTGCTGGGGATCCACAGTGAACCCTTCAGGGCTCCGTTGGTCGGGCCACAGCATCCCCAGAACACCCACGAGATCTGAAGGCGGCCCAAGACGGAACACTCTCCGAGAGAGGAAGAGAAGCTGAGCGCAAAACCGCGCGTGAGCACGAAACAACAGCCTCAGAGGGCATCGCAATACCGAGTGCAGGTTGCGTGCCAGGCTGCGGTGGGTCGCACTGAATGTTGCCACAGATGCGCACGGGCCTCCTCACCCCCCGCTGCCCGAACAGCGTGCGCACGATTGTCAGAACACCACGTTTTTCTCGGTCGCCCCCTCTTCCTCTTGAACATGGACAGCCCCAGGTCGAATGAGAAAGGGCGGAAATCCGTGAGCCTCACGGGGTCGTCGCCTGGCTTCCCGGCAATCTGCCCCAGGAAGAGCAGCTGGCAGTGAAGCAGAGCTTTGCTCACCGGCTTGTTTCCGGCGCGCTGCAGGATGCAATCGTTGGACACTCTGCGTGTATCATAATTGATGAGTCTGTTTTCCACCACCGCCACCATAAGTTGGAATGGGGAAGGAGGGCGAGGAGGAGGACGAGGGCGAGGAGAAGGAGGACGAACAGGAGGAGGAGGAGGAGGAGGAGGAGGAGGAGGAGGAGGAGGAGGAGGAAGAGGACCCCCCTCCAACTTATGGTGGTGGAGGTGGAAAACACGCCCATCAAGAATGTGGAATGCGTAGCACCTCGCGGAGGCACCTGGGCTTGGAGAGCGTCCGGTCTGCGACGCTCGTGTTTGTTCGGAAACGACGTGTGAAGGCATCGAAGATTCGCAGTTCTCTCAAATTCTTTACGCTTCGCGTGAGGGTCGTCGTTTTTTGGCCCTCCCAGGAGTCGAAAAAGACCCCTCTGACCACCCGCGGGACGACCTCTCCAGGCCCAGGG